TTAAGGGCTCCTAAAACATTATTGTTTTGGCAGGAGATATCAACGCGCGTGTCGGTCGTCTGCTGCCATGTGAGCGCCACCTCAGAGGAGCGCAGGGATATGATACTATTCGCTTAGACAAGAGAGACTGCTCAGTCTGTGTGCTGACCATCAAGTATTCCACTCCAGCACAAGCTCTCGTCATCCTGGACGCCAGTACGCCACTTGGTGTCCCCCAACATCAACCCAGTGCTGGTCACAGATTGACCACATAGCTATAAGTCGCAGGTGGCGCGGCAGCGTACGCGACTGCCGATCATTTTGGTCAACATGCGTCGATACCGATCATGCACTGATATGTGCGACCGTTTGCATGCGTTTCGGTGGTTCGCTTAGGTCAAAACACCCGACCGAACACCTACAAGTTGGAGGACCCAATGGTGAAGGAGTATCAACAAAGGCTTCGTGAAAATCTAGCTCACTCACTCTGGATGTTGATCGACACTGGGCAAGTCTGCAATAAGCCTTGCTGTCGGCCGGTTTGTCCAGTTGTGGCCTCGCTCGCTCCACTCCCAAAAGCTGGATCTTGGGAAGATCCTCGGAATCGCTGGATTGCCGAGGGGCGGTGCCTGCTGGCGCAGAGTACAACGAACACCGCCGGTCTATTACGCAACAGCTGAAAGCAAGCCTTCGTTCTGATCGTGAATCTTGGTGGTGAGAACAAGCTGATGAGATGGAAGCTGATGCATCAACTGGCAACGTCCGCCGCTTATTTTGCATCATCAGGGCCACCGGTTGCAATTTCCATGCTATCAGCCAGACGATTTGCGAGTCAGACGGCACGAATATCACCAACCTTTACAGGCGATTGGGTCGCTGGGCAGAGCATTTCGCTCTACAATTCAACCACCCAACACAGCCCCGTGTGGCACCTCCAGCCCCAACGGATGATACTTGGCCTGTCTCCACAGGCCCAGCAACTGAAGCAGAGATCCGAGATGCAATCCAATCTTTGGAACGCCACAAAGTTGCTGGTCCCGACAGCCTACCACCGGCTCTATTCAAAAATGGCGAGAGTGTACTTGTCAGCGAAATCCCATCGTTTTTCACGAAAGTTTGGACTGAGGAGAAGGTTCCGAACTCATGAGGAGAATCGGTCATTGGTCCGATACACAAAATAAGGCTCCCGCGACGATTGCTTTAACTACCGGGGAATCTCGTTGATCTCTGTCACATCTGAAATCTACGTATCTGTCCTACTTCGCAAGATTTCCACGGTTAGAGAGAAATTTTCCTGAGAAGAACAAGCCGGATTTCGTCCAGGCCGCGGCCGCATCGACCAAATCTTCATGTCCCGCCAACTTCTCGAACTTCGTCACATCCATCGGTAGCCAACAACCGTAGTGCTCTTGGACATCCGAGCGGCAATTGATTCAGTGGATAGACCTGCGTTGCGAAACTGTTTACTGAAGAAAGGTGTGCCCGACAAGTTTGTAATCATCCTGAAAGAACTCTACAACCACATGTCAGGGTTTACAGCACGCTCCATTCGTCATTTGCCGTGACCAGCAGTGTTCGCCAAAGTTGCCCTATTTCACCTTTCCTCTTCAATTTGCCAAGGAAGATGTCGTCTAAGGAGCACTGGAAGGTGTCCAGAACTGCTGTGTTGAGCTCCTCCGTGGAGAGAGTCACGGACTTGGACTACGTCGATGATATCGCCTTGCTGGGGGATGACCCACAAACTGTCCAGAGAACTTTGGACCGCTTGGCGATGTAGGCGTCTAAGTACGGCTTATACTTTACTTCGGGAAAAGGTAAAACGCTTCTCCAGGATTGGTAAATGCCTGAACCCGCGCTCACCATTGTTGGACATGTACTGAAGCAAATCCCTTGATTTACTTACCTAGGGAGTTGCATCACGGCTGGTGGCTGTGTTGGAGATGAAGTCTCACAAAGGATTGCAAGGGCGCGCTTCTCATTCATCAAACTGAGACACCTATGGCGTCATCGTGATGTCAGTCTCAAGCTCAAGGGCAGGGTGTACAGCGCTTCCGTTCGTGCAATATCCTTGTACGGTTGAGACTTGGCCTATTCGCTCGGAAGACATGAAGCGGTTGTCAGTCCTTGATAATCACTATCTAGAAAGGATTGCTCGGGTTTGGTAGCAACACCACGTAAGCAACGCAGAGGTCCAAGACCGAGTAATTGGAGCGAGTAATGCCAATCTTCAGAAGGTTATTCTCAAACACCGCATACGTTGTCACGACCATGTATTGCGCATACCGGCCTATCGCCTTCCCTGTCGAGCGTTATTTGCGCTCCCCGGAAGCGATTGGAAAAAGTGCCGCGGTGGACAACCAATGACGTGGAGAAGGATCATAAGGAATGCAACCTAAATTTTAGCATCCGTCGGACGGGCGCGCATTAAAGAATGGGGGCCACGTGATTCGGACTGCCAGTGGTTAAAAATGTTGGCGGCTATGGCGCGCAACCGACATCAGTGGAGACAGTGCTGTTCAACCGTGTAACCTATTAATGAACGTCTCATGGAACGTAAAACTCCAAAACACAAAGATCTCAAACCCGCGTGTGTCAAACGAAAAAAGTCGTTTCCATCATGTTATATTCCGCTGCCCCCCATTATTTTGCAATGGTTATGATGGCACATTGCCTGTAATCAGAATGTGAATATATATATATATATATATATATATGGCTGCAAATCTTACCAATGTTCCTAGTGGACAAAGGCGTGGCAACTAGTCACACAGCCTACAAACCACAAGCCAATGGCCAAGTTAAACGTCTTAAGGGAACCCTTTGTAATACAACCTCACTCGCTCTACGAGCCAGAAACCTAGCACCTCCGCAGTGGGAGTTTGCTCTTCATGACGCGCTACATTCCATCCGTTCGTTGCATTGTACTGCTACAAACACTACTCCTCATGAACGTCTCTTTTGTTTTGCTCGACGGTTAACTAACGGAACTTCCATTCAATTCTGATTGACGGTCCCTGGATCGGTCTTACTCAAATGAATTGACAGGCCTTCAAAATATGGACCTTTGATGGAAAAAGTCAGTCTCATCAGCTGTCTCTCATTATGCTCGTGTACGACTACCTTATGGTAGAGAAGAAAATGTCTCCATCAGTCAGGTGGCCTCTCGAGGTGATCTTCCCGTTTTACCACCTGAAACTCAGGAGACACCAGATAACCACTCAAACCGACAATCCAGCAACCCCAACACCAAAACACTCAGAGAATGGCTACTCGTGCGATGCCGACCGCACTTCTCTTCGTGCACCTTCCCATTCCGATATTCTAAGCCAGCAACAGAGTACACGTTCTTACTATTTACGAAATACGGAGGCCCAGTTTAAAAAGATCTTCCATTTTCCGGCTGGGGTGAATGTTGTATGCATACACTTACCCCCTTGTAGTTATCACATCATAATCAGTTCATTTACCCTTCCGCTGATGTACCTTCGTTGCCAGACCAGTAAAAGCCATTATTCCATCTGTCGTGCCATCTCCATCCAAGGAATCACCAGTGTGTTGTTGTAGTGAGTAGTTTCGAAGTAACGGCAGTAGCGTCAAGACCGTAAGCATTTTCGCGCGACTGCATTGGATCCTTTCAGGTGACAACGATGTTCGACAAACATCTCGAGGTGTGCTGGAAAAGGCGATCCGATAAGCTATCTGTTATGGGGACTTTGTGTCCCCATAATGATCATAAGCTCTAACCACGGAAGGCAATGAGACTCAACTCAGACAAGTGCACATGTTCCGATCAGCCATCCAAATCGTGAGACACTCACGTTTCGATTGGCCTTTGTACCTCAGAAAACATTCCTCTTTCCGGCCAACCTCCCTTCAATCATAAAATATTCAGTCTATTTTACCTAAGAAACATTCAATTTTCTAGTCCGGCCTCCGCATCTACCAACATTCCCTTTTCAACAGGTTCCCTTGGCATAGTTGCATAGTACCAATCCAGTTGCTTCCAGGATTTGCTTACGCAAATTATTGGCGCCATCGAGGTATAAAAGAAACGCTAGATTACGCTGTAGTCGCCTTGAGCATGGCCGGTAAAAGTACCTACGCGAAAGCCCTGTCTTTTTGTATTGTTCTCTGGGATCGGGTAGCTGCGTGTGAAATTGCGTCCAATCTAGAAACCCGTTCAACTCGCGCGTAGTAACCCTGTTGTGCTTAAGTCTCACGGATCGTGCAATTTCGAGTTTTGTTGGTTACTTTGTCATGCGTGAAATAGATCCATGCCACATCCGTTTGACAGATTAGGAGAATTGATACCAGATCGGCAGAGCGCGGCGCAACCAAGAAACGGAAACATAACAAATAAGGCGAATGTTTTGATGTATAGGTAAAGATGCTATCAGAACACATTAAAAGTTGGCTTGGAGTTAAAAGAAGGCGTATTCAACTGGACTGCGCATCTGTGTCGTAATTCAGTAGTCATCGATTTGTATACGCGATATACCAAGCTCTCGAGCGACTGGTAGCTGTCGTGTGGCAGCAAAGCGTCGGTACGGTGTGTCGACGTACTGCTGATGTCATTTCTTCAAAGAGTATGCACGAGAAGTACACCGGTGTGACTCATCGACACTCCGCTGCAACGCGACCACTACCATCGGTCGCGCGCGAATTAAGGGGTACCCCGAGGTCACTCGCACTTAAACAGATCCGAATCAGTGACATTTGCAGTACAAGGTTGCCGGTCTCATTCTTTCGGCCATTTCCCGACTTGGCGTAGGATAAACGGTGATTGCAACTGACGCAAAACGTATAGATCGCCTATTTCGAAGGACAACTGAAACTGTAACAGCGACTCGATGGTGAAATCCCCCAGACAATAAAGGTCAATTTTACCATCAGTTGGCTGGTGGATTAAAAGGCCTAAAATCCACGGTAGTCTCAGTTAGAGCAAGCAGTATAAGAGTGAAGATGAATCACTGCCTTTACCACAAGAGTTGCAACGACATATAATACTTATTTATGCCTACCATCCACACGCATTCCCACGGTGAGACATTTCTGAAACCGACAATATGCACATCGCTTTCGATGAACGCGATCAATTGTGCAATTTCCATGCTCCGTACAATGATATTCTTTCCTGTTTTGCACCGTCCGTTTAAAAAATCCTAAAAAGTGTAGAAGGCATGTGAGCCCTAGCTAAGTTGGGAACATACCTTTGCAAGACTCACAGGTAGGTAAACCGTAGTGGTAACCGGAAACGCGGTCTCCGCAAATAGGACAGGGCAATGAGGTGGTAGATGCATCAAAACCAGATGCCACTGTATGACTAGGCAGGGAAGAGTCTACGGAAAAAGGAAAGCAGGATGAAAACTACTGCAGACGTACCTAAAGTGCCGTCATGATCCCCAAAGTCATGACCAACAGCATCGAAGGATTCTGCGCTCTGGGAATCGTCGTTGTAGGGTTCCGCGTTATTAGAAGATGATATGAACATCATCGAGGTATACACAACAGCAAGTAACTAAGAAAGTAAAAAGCTTCCAAAAAAGCGAAATTCATTTGGCCTGAGAAATCACCAAGTACGTATAGAAGACAAACAGCGGGACTGAGTGGAAGGGGGGCTGTGTCGGCTACACAGTGTGAAGCGGCGATGCACTGCATCATAAAAATCCATGGGTTGGGTCAATAAAAGCGGAACCTGTAGTGAAGGACAGAAAGCATAAGCAATGAGCAGTTGCAGAAAAACGCATATATATATATATATATATATATATATATATATATATATATATACATGTGACGCTTGACCGATATACAGTCGGTATAGTGCTATAACATATGGGGAAACATAGAAAAAGATAGTCAGGTGGGGGGTTTCACAGTACGTTTGCCATTAAGTCCCATACCCACAGATGTTTCCAACCAAGGATGCTCACAATCCTTGGGTCCCCAACCCGGGAGTCTGGAACGCGCATACGTGACAAAATTTGAAGTCAGCGTTCTGATTCCTTGAGTTCAATTAGTGTGTCGACCGTCCTTAAATCGTCTCCAATCAACACCGGTGAGCACGAAGAGGGCGCGGAAAAGCAATCACTGAGCAGGCATATGAACAACACGCCCGAGCAATGGAAGCTTGTGCAGGGAAGTTAGGCAACTCAGTAGCCGATTGAGTCTGCTGGCCTGAAAATCCGACGTCGAATGTCATTACTAATGTAGAACTGCGAATGTACACCAGCGATGCTACGAATGCAGCAGTGATCAAAAACTGAGTCCGTGAACATCGCCCGGGCGAATACGAAAGGTCTCAAATTCGTATAAAAGCACCGTTTGTACCGCAGCGTTGTAAATTCAGTTTTTTGTAAAAATCTGAGGTCACATCGGCGTCAGAAGTGACGGAGGATGACAAATGAACCCTTCATCAAACAATTTCTTAATGCTCTGGCTGTAGCAGAGGATAATAAACGGCACCCTATCTGGTGCATCGAGCAGGGTGGATAGGGTATGGATGCTACTGCTCAGGCCTTCCCGTCCTCTGATCCCCCTTCTTGCGCTTCTTCATCCTTATCGTCCCCCTCCAACTTTGCTTTTATCCCCCTATTTTCAATCCCAAATTCTTCGCCCTCCCCCAACTTGCTTCAATAGTCGCCTGTGTTCCAGTTTCAAATTACACAGCTGCAGTGCGTCGCTCCAATCCAGTCGACAAGTCCATGTTCAACCAAGTGGACAACGTCAGTTCATCCGTTTCCCTTTGGAGTCCTAGCGTCTCACTAGGACTGGCATGCCTCAACACGAACACTTTGGTACAGATTGGCCAACAGACAACACTTGCCCACACACTAGAGACCCTATCGATCGATATTTGCTGTTTATCAGAAACCCGTCTGCAAGATTCGAGTTCCGTGGTTACTCTGCGATCCCCCACATGCGACACTCGCGGCACACTCTCATTGTGCCTGTCTGGTGATGATGCTGCTCCAAATACCGGTCAAGCTGGCATCAGCATCGTTTTGAGTCCCAGGGCTGAAGCTGCCCTGATCGATTGGATCCCAGTAAACAGTAGGATGTGTGCCGTTAGATTAGCTGGTTCCTTCCGTGCTACGAAGTCGCGCGGGGACAAACGGTGCCTGTTTGTCATTGCGGCTTACGCCCCTACAAACTGTAGCACCGATTCGGTAAAAGATGATTTCTATCAGCAACTTCACGAGCTCCTTCGTTAGAGAAGAAGCACGGATACTGTGGTGTTGGCTGGTGATCTAAACGCCCAAGTCGGAAATTGGTCCGCTGATGAGCTTTATCTGGGCGGTCAACGTGGTGTAGGCTCCCGTAATGAAAACGATGAGCGATTGCTACATCTGTGAGAAGATGCTCGTGTCTTTCTCGCGAGCACGAACTTTCGACACAGCACCTGCAGAAGCGTGACTTGGCAACAATCAGCCTCGAGCCAGCCATGGACGCAACTCCATCATATTGCGATCAGTTACCGCTGGAGATGCTTTGTCCAAAACTGTCGCTCGATTTGAAGCACCAGCGTGGACTCTGACTACGCACTTGTCTGCGCCGACCTCCGGGTGCGTTTCGGTGGAAGTCCACAATGTCGATGTGAACGGAGTGACACCAGCCAGCTGGCGAAGTGAGCTGTTCTGAATGTGTATCAAAGTGCGCTGACATCTGGGATGAGTAAGCTCACACTAAACACTGTCGAAGATCACTGGTCGCATATTCGTCAGACGTCAGCGTTAGCAGGCATCTCTTCATGTGGCAAAGCAAAATGCCAAACCGGACATTGCGTCTCTACACAGTCTCTGGAACTTATCGACGCTAGCCGACGTATTCCGACTGGAAGAGAGAATCTCAGAGCAAAAGTATGTGCAGCGTGAAGAAAGACCGCGAAACTTGGTGGTCTCATCGTGCATCTGAGATGGAAACATCCGCTACTATTGGCAATCATCGAAAGCTATTCCGGGTGATACGGGAAACGGACAGCAGGAGATCTGGTGTTAGTGAAACTATACGTTGCGAGAGCGGACAGCCTATCCACAATTTGACAAAAAGTTTGGAGCGTTAAGCTGAGCATTTCGAAAGGAAATTTAATCGGCCAGCATTGTTCGATTCTTCGCCGGTAACAGATCGCCTCCTCCATGGGCTGTCTCTCTGGATTCGCCCTCGCTCGGAATTCAAACGCGAGATCGCATTGCTGAAGCTAAACAAAGTCGCGGGACCACATAAGCTTCATCCAGCCCTATTCAAATTCAGGGGACCCGCCCTTGTGGATGATTGATACAACTTACTAGTGAAACTGTGGGAGCAGGAAACTGTCCCAACCGACTGGAGCCGTTCCGTCATAGTCTCAATTTTCAAAGGAGGCTGGCATTCGGAATGCGACAACCATAGATGAATCAGTCTGATCCCCATCGCCTTCAAATTACTCGCCTCCATAATCCTTCACAAACTGACTGGTACTTGTGAAAGCCATATTCATGAAGAGCAAGCCGGGTTTCGTTGTGGTTAAGGGTGCATCGATCAGATCTTCACTTTACGTCGATTGTTGGGGCACCGTCACACATATTGGCGGCCCACCGTATTCGTGTTCCTCGACATCATAGGTGCATTCGATTCGGTTGACCGAAGTGCCAATTGGGAATACCTACTCAGGAAAGGTGTGCGGATAACGACGTCCGGTGGCTCGTTCCCATTCTTGCTATACGTTTGTCTTACAAGTGAAATACGCTTGAATACCGGTGTTTCAACGCACATTGGTAATAGAATTTGACGTCTGTCAAATTCCTTCACACACCCAAGGTGATTTGGATAGCGACACCTATCCACAAGACATCAAGCATGACGAGCAAGGTCCAGCGAGCTGCGACCTCCCGTGCGTCTAGCACTTTGGACGCTACTCTCGACAAAACGAGAGCAGCAGCAGCATCTAAGTGCCTGAGCTGCAGCAGAAATGTCACTTCTCGGTTTAAAGCGCTGCAGTGCGGTCTGTGCGAAGGATGGGCCCACACAACGTGCAGCGACATTGAGCACGATCTTTATGAATGCCTGAAAAGAACGGCATCTTCCACGCTAACATTCCACTGTGACAAATGCCGACTTATTGTTAACGATAAGTCCCTTCTGGTGAATCTGACTTTGGCGAAAAAGACAGATAATAACGCCGCATTGGTGACGCCCGTACTACCGCCGGTGACTCCTCCATGCATCCATACTGTGCGCAATCGAAGCCGCTCCTCCTCCGCTTCATCAGCGGACACACCAATGCATAGTTCACAAGACAACCGAAAAAAGCCGTCTGTCGGCACTCCAACTGCAACTGCGATCTACGCAGCCGTGGCCAGCGCTGGCGCCGCAAAACCACCCGGCTGGGTCCAGGCCCCTAAAAAGAAAAGTTGTAAGGCGGTAAACAAAAACAAATCGAAATCACTGTCTACAGTGTCACAACTAAAGTCTGTGCTAAACAAGGTAACACGACTTGAGAAATTGCTAGCCGAGAAACCGGCCTTACCGAAACCGGTGAAGCCAAGCGATAGCAAGTCACCAAGGGGACGGCTATGCAACGTCATGATTTTCCACGCACCTGAGTCGACTGATCCCAGTCCCCAGGTACGCTATGACCATGATGTGCAATCCTTGCAGTCTCTAACCGACAAACTACTGGATGTTGGCGAACCCGGGTTACGAAACAAGTCACTCGTCTGGGGGAACAAGTTGATGGCAAGTGTCGGCCTCTGCGCATCGCGTTCGCCGACGAAACTGCCCCAAGGTTAGTACTGTCCCGCCTCGGTCGCCTAAAGGGGATGAAAATTCATGGCCGGCCAGACCTTGATCCCGCAGAACGAGAGCAGCTGAAGTCTGCCGTGATCGAACTGAAACGACGCACGGACGCCGGTGAAACTAACCTGCGTATCGTAAATTTTCGCACAGTTGCCCGGATACCCCGAATCCGGCTAAACAGAGCAATGACGCTTCAAGCTCGCCCAGCGGTTCCTACCGCGGATTGCGCGTAGCGTTCATTAATGTATGCAGCTTAATGAACAAGCACGATGATCTGATCCGCTTCATTGCTTCACGTCGGCCAGATGTGGTTGACATCTGAAGTGACAAGCGAAGAAATTGCGATCACGGACTATTCGTGCTTCCGCTGTGATCGACAGTCGAATAGCCGCGGTGGCGTCCTACTTTACCTCCGGTCTACCCTGTGCGGGAGACTCGTGAGCACCTACCGAAGCATTGACGGTCTATGTGAGCAGCTGTGGTGTTCGATCCATCTACGACGCGGCGAACTGCTTGTGGGTGTGGCATATCGTAACCCACGGAGTAACGGATTGGGTTGGCTCACACACGTCCAAAACCAAATGAGTCGCCCGCAGTTCCTGCTCACTGGCGACTTTAACCTTCCTCGAATCTTATGGCCTGAAGTTTCTTCTCCCTGGCCATAATGAAGTGGAGACAAGATTCGCCGAACTGGTACTGGAAACCGGAACGGTGCAGCACATCACGCAACCCACCCGCATAACCCCGCGCTCAATGCCATCATGCCTGGACCTGCTGCTAACCAGCTGCGAATAAACAGTGCATGACATAGAAGTTCTTGAGCCCATGGCGGCCAGTGATCACTCGACAATTGTGGCCACTATAGACCTGCAGCTTCCATGTGTGCGTCCAGTGGCGCCAACATACAACTATTGGAAAGCT